CAGGAGACTAGTGCTTACTTTCTTTGCCACATTCTGCTCCGACATGTGTGCATATGTCAGTCATGGGTCTTCACCTTCTCTTCCAGGGAAGGGGACTCAAGCTGAGGTGTGTCTGTGGGGTTCTGCAGCAGGGAGGGAGAGAGAGGAAACTTCTAACCGACTCCCCCCATAGAAACTAATCAGAGTTATGCATGATCAGAAATGTGCTGTGAGGACAGTTTTCACTAGAACCCCTCACACATCCCCGGGCTCCTTGGAGAGGAGCACTTGGCAGCCCCAGGCAGTTAGATCACAAGAGGCTTACGTGTTGACTTGACTCGAGCCAAACTACTACCCTGTTCTTCCCTCTTGGCAAAACATTTTTCAAATAGCTTTTTGGAAATTTTCTGATTGGAATATTTGAAGTGGTAATTTAATTTTTTTCTTATGAGGATATACATACAATAAAAATTAACCCTGTGGAGTATCTTTAAATGTACAGTCCTGTGATATTGAGTACATTCACTTGTGCAACCATTCTCCCTTCCCACCTGCCCCCAGTCCACCTCTAGGACTTGTTCATCCTGCCCACGTACAGCTCTGTTCTGGTTACACCCCAGCTTCCAAGGACCTCATGGAATTGTCAGGACACAGTGTATTTGTTTGTGGGGTCCTAGTTATTTCACTGAGCACGATGTCCCGAAGGTTCATCCATACTGCAGCAGGTAACAGAGTTTACCTCCTTTTTAAGGCTGAATAACATTCCATCAGGTGGATGGACTATGTTGTGTTTATGGGTTCACCTGCCAGCAGACACTTGGGATTGCTTCCACCTTTTGGATATTGTGGAGGCTGTTGCCAAGAGCACGGGTGCAGAAATACCTGAGTCCCCCCTTCCAACTCCTTGGGAGCCCTGCCATAGCAGAATGAGAGCTGGGTCCTACGGTAATTCTGTGTTCCCATACTGTTCTCCACAGCGGGACCGTTTTGTTTTAGAAATTTCCTCAAGTCCAGCTTATTCATTTTTCTCCTTTCTCAGCCTTTTTTTTTTTTTCATTTTAGAGTAAACACTTTTTTTTAAATTTTTTTTAATTTTTATTTATTTATGATAGTCACAGAGAGAGAGAGGCAGAGACACAGGCAGAGGGAGAAGCAGGCTCCATGCACCGGGAGCCCAATGTGGGATTCGATCCCGGGTCTCCAGGATCGCGCCCTGGGCCAAAGGCAGGCGCAAAACCGCTGCGCCACCCAGGGATCCCTAGAGTAAACACTTTCAAAAAAGAATTGTTTAAGCTCTTTTTTATAATAGATTAGCGGGGATTTTTTTTTTTTAATTTTTATTTAGGTAATCTCTGCACCTGTCATGGGGCTTGAACACACAGTCCTAAGATGAGGAGTCACATGCTCCACCAAATGAGCTTCCAGGGGCCCCATCAAGGAACCGTTTTTTTTTTTTTTTTAATTTTACTCATTTATTAACGAGAAACAGAGGCCAAGGGAGAAGCAGGGTACCCACAGGGAGCCCTATGTGGGACCTGATACCAGGACCCTGGGATCATGACCTGAACTGAAAGCAGACACCCAACCCATTCAGCCACCCAGGCGCCCCCAAGGAAACTTTTTGAATTGACAGCCTGTAACACCAAATCCAGTACTTGGGAAGCATCTGTAGGCAGCACAGTGTGGTATGCTAGCTTTTAGTCATCATAGACAGGATCTGTGCCAAACGGTAGAGTTCACACTTGGTGGTTTTTCTAGAAGGAAAGATATGTGGTACTGGTGAGTACGGCCTTAAAGTTACATGTTTATTTATTTTTAAAGATTTTGTTTATTCATTCATGAGAGACAGAGAGAGAGAGGCAGAGAGACAGGTAGAGAGAGAAGCAGGTTCCATGCAGGGAGCCCGATGTGGGACTCGATCCCAGGTCTCTGGGACCACACCCCTAGCAAAGGCAGACGCTCAACCACTGAGCCACTCAGGCATCCCACCTTAAAGTTATTTTAAGAGCAGTTTCCCTTGATGACTTATGGGAACGTTTATAGAACATTAGAGGATGTGGCACTGTTCTTAGCCCCTATTTAAAAAAAAAAAAAAAAAGATTTTCCCGTCAGGTGGAAAATACCAGACAGTTCTTGTAGGAACAGTTGGGTAAAAATGACATTATTCTTCTTTGGTGCCTTTATTGTGACCTTTTGGGAACATTAAGGAAAACCTACTAAAAATTGCTCCATTTATTAGCACTACATCCTAATTTTGCCTTTTTCTGATTGTTCATGGTGTTTTTGTGGATGCTTTATCTGCCTGTGCAACTTCACATCCTATGCCATATGAGCAATACCATTTCTTGACACAGTGGACAGAAATTTATGATGAGCTAGCCATCCTGGCTAAAATCCTCATAGCCACTTAGAAGCATTGTTACTGACAGGTTGGAGTGTGCATTGGACTCTGATAACAAAAATCAGAGGGCAGGTCAGCAGCCTGGGCCCAGAGAAATGCCTAAGGAGCAATTCCAATGCCTCACAAAGGCCTGGCTATGGTCTTCCAGGTGCATCAGCCTCAGGAGCACGCCTGGATGCATTTTCAGGGCTGTGCCCCATACTTGACCACTGGCACTGAGAATCACACATATTAAAAAAGTGCAGTTCAGAGGAGAAGACCTCTTCCCCACTGTCATAGTACTTTGTCAACGAGATAGTAAGAGACTCTTTCTTCCTTGTCTGTCAGCGCCTGCAGCAGTAGCATGCTGGAATCGAGAAGGGGAGCTATCCTTTCAAAACCACCTGGAAACAAACTGAAGCCTCTACCTTGTTATGCAGTAACAATTTTGAAGTGCATTGTTTGCACAAGAGAAAGCCAAAGTGTCTTTAAAGAGAGCCACGCAGGGAAGCCCCAGTGGCCCAGCAGTTTAGCGCTGCCTTCAGCCTGCGGTGTGATCCTGGAGACCTGGGATCAAGTCCTGTGTCAGGCTCCCTGCATGGAGCCTGCTTCTCCCTCTGCTTGTGTCTCTGCCTCTTTCTCTCTGTGTCTGTCATGAATAAATAAATAAAATCTTAAAAAAAAATAAAGAGAGCCAGACAAAGTAGTGACCGCTGACCAGGGACTTTCAGGAGAAGCCACGTGGCCGTCATGGACATCACAGAGCCAGCAGGAGATGGTGAAGATAGAGAATATGAACAGAGCCCTTAGTGAGAGCAGGGTAGACCAGTTGCTTCAGTGTGTTCTACTGATTTGGGTGGGGGGTGGCCCATTCAGTTGGTCCGTGGGGTGTCCTGTAGGGGTTTTGATAAGTGGTGGTCTCTCAGATGCTGAGACTTGTGTTGCAGGCAGGTGTTGCTGTGTCCCTTCCCCAGATTCACAGCCTATTTTATCCATCTGTCCTCACAGGTTCCTACCACTTGCATTATCCTCCACAATGGAGTCCATATTCTTCTTGGCAGCAGGATAAAACATATACTTTTTTATTTTTCTGCCCAGTAGTGAGCAAGGCTGTGATTTTATGGCTTAGGAGTCTTTAACTTCATGTCTGTTCATCAGCAGAGGAGGAAGAGAAAAGCAGGTGTCCTCCAGGCAGGCCCTGTCGGGAGAGACATTGCTGAGCAGGTGCCTCGCCCCAAATACCTTCTCCCCTCTGTGTGCATCTGGAGCTTTACTTGGTGTATTGTGGGAAACCTGTCAGTTCACAGAAGCATTTGGGCTAATACCATCCATTCTGTTGGAAAAAAACAGACTAGACCGTGGGAGGATTTAGGCACCATTAGGAGAGACGTGATGAAGGGACCACCCTCGGCCACTGTTGGCCATACCTCATCAGTACACGTTTCAGGTGGACTGCCAAGATGCCAGCCTTGCCCAGCCTTGGCGCCCCTTCCTGTAATGGAGGTGTAGTGCTGATCACAGAGGTGGCTGTCCTGTGAAGCCCCAGCTGAACACCTGTACCCCGGAGGAGCACAGGGAGAGTCCTGGTGGGGATGGTGTGAGTCCTGGTGGGGATGGTGTGAGCCTGGGCAGGGGGGCGCTGAGCACACTCCATGCTAGGGCTGTGCTACCACAATAAGGCACCCCATCCAGGCTTCAGCTGGGGGTCCTGCACCACAAACTCTGGTCCTTTGTGCAAGCCACAGGCCTCTCTTTGTGATTTCTCCTCACTGAAACAGACAAGACAGTAGCAGCTCTCTCAGGCTTGCCAGTAGGGTCAAATGCAATGGTGCCTGGCCCATGCAAAGGTTGGTACCAGGCATGTGACATCACTGTAGCTCTTGGCCTGCTGGCAGTCTTGGATTTGTGGTGATTAGTTCAGTACATGCTTTCCTTGCAAAGCCTGCTGGACCCAACCCTTAGGACCTGAGGTTTCCACTGGAAAGCTGCGGTGGGTGACTTAGAAAAGTGGGTTGGGGTAGGGATGGGGAGGAAGAAGCAGGACGGTGCGGTCAGCCAGGTGAGGATGGGGAGGCAGAGAGGGTATCAAGGATCTCTGTTGCTGGCTGGGGTCTAGGGGCCCTGGTGCCAGAGGGACGTGAGTGTGTAGCTCCTCCTTCCAGGCTCTCACTTGGTCTCCCATCACGGGCCTGTGGCTTTGTTTAATGGAACGAGTAGCATGGTGAGCCACAGTGCAGGTTCAGGGGGACTTCATGGGACTCTGACACCGAGAATGATCTCATTTCCACGGAAACATGTTTCTGGACCGCTGAGTTTGTGCTGTGCCATCTTCATAAGCTGGGGATTGTCTGACTGGTTTTATGCGATTAGGTTTCTAGAGCTTATCAGAATAGACAGTGCAGATAGTTGTTTTGTCACGTGTGGTCTAAACATAGAATAATGGCTTTCCTGGTGAGTGCGGGTGCTGACGGCATGTGGAAGTCCCACAAAATCTCCCCAGCAAGGGAAAGACTCTGGGAAGACAGGGCCAAGACTTCAGCTTGCGCCTTCCCCTTCTCCTTCCCTCCCTTCTGTTGGTCTGTCTGTTTCTGTGGTCTTGTGACTTTTTGACTCTGATCTCCAGCAATGTTTCTTGTTGCAGAGTATGGCGTTTGTGAGAACCTGCGGAAGCTGGACATCACCGGCGTGTCTTGTCGAGATGTCTATGCCAAGCGTAAGTGACCCTGTTGCCCTCCGTGGTCCCCTTTGTTCCAAAGGCAGAACGAGCACCCATGATAGGAGTTCAAAGAATGGGACCCCCAGCCCTCGTTCCCTCCTCAGATCCCCGGTGTTGTAGCTGATGCACCATGGACAGTGCTGGTAGCTGCAGCACTAAGGGTGGGAGGCCTTTTCTTTGTCTCTGGGGGTGTCTCGTCTTTCTTTTTCACAGGTAATGGTGTCTTCTGTTAGGTGCTGAAGACCATTAGATCTGAGAAACGTGGCTGTATGGAAAACAACCCTGGGGTGCTTCAGAGGCATCCCTTTGTCTGGATTCCGGGCACGTGGACAGCAGCTTCACTGAGAAGTCTGGCCGTTCCCGCAGGCTTCCTTGGCCAGCGAGGCTGGCCTCCTCAGACCCTGCCTCCCTGCAGCCCCACCCCAGGTCCCCCTTCTGGGGCTCTGTCTGCCCTGCAGTCTATTGCCAAGTGGGGTAGAGTCTTCAGACCCCATTTCCTGTTGTGAGGCTGTGAAGATCGCTGTTGGCCTGACACCACTCAGGAGCTGCGGCCCAGCACTGAGCCGCAGGGAGAAGCTTGTGGGTTCACCCCTCAGTGGCTGCCTTGGGCAGTATTAGCTCCCCAGGGCTGGGGATCAAAGAGGGGAGTAAGACGGTGACCCAGTTCTCTTTGGCCTAAAGTAGACTGTTTATTGCTCTTAAAAGGGCCTTAAGGTTTCATCCTAAATCCATCTTGCTAGATTCTTGGTAGATTCACATTCTTTGGAAATGTTCTCCATTGAAAGCAGAACCGGTAGTGCTCCTTCGAGGGTGCTCAGACCTGGGAGCTGAGACCACAGTCTACACGGAACATGTCTGGTTCAGGACTCGGAAGGACGCAGGTTGCTGACAGCCAGTGGAAGCCCTGGAAGTTCCTCCAGGGTCGGGGGCATGGGCTGCTGCCTTTCCATGTCCCCGTTCTTAGCGGGTCTGTCACTCAGGTTCTCCTCTGAGATGTCCCTCGTTCACATGGCTGCAGGGGAGCATGGAGCTTCCATGTAGAGCTGGCTCGGTGGGAGGCACTGGCAGTGCTTCCTCCTTGGATGTGGTGGATGTCGTCGTCGTCCTGTTAGTTCCTTCTGTCCACACTGTGATCCGTGGCAGTTTGGGTTTGTGAGGTGGTTGGTGTTCTGAGTTAGGATTTGTGCTTACATTGGGGAGCTTTTCCATCAGCAAGCTGGAGGTTCTTCATGGACCTTCCTCTGGGGTGCCAGGGTGCTCATGACATGCACAGCTCAGCTGTGCCCTCTGACCCCCCCCCCCACCCTCCTGATCCCTGGCCTTGGCCCCCACTGCTGACGACCTGCCAGCTCCTCCTTCTCTGTGGGTACTCAGACTTGGCTTTCTTCTTTTGCTTCTGCTTCACTTTCTACCAGCCTAGAAAGACACGTGTCATGGGACGTGGGTCTAGGGGGCCCTAGCAGTCATATATCCTGAAAGCCTTATCCCTTCCATGTCTGCTCATCTCCGCAGCCAGAACAATACTGCTTTGAACCTTGCAAAGCCCAGATTCCAGAAGCAGAAAGCCAGTTCTGCCCCCTGTCTCCTGTCCTCCATTCTATGGGTGCCACATGGCCCTGGCTCCACCCTTGGTTCCTCTATGGTTGCCCAGAGCTCAGTATCTTAATCCAGCCAGAGTGTGGAACTGGAGGGACTAACTCTGGCTATCAGCATTAGTGCTGGGGCAGGACCCCATTCTGTCCACAGCAGTCTCTGTGTGTGACATGAAACAAAGGTATCCTGGCTTTTTTGGACAGTCAGCTGGTTTCTAGAAGTATCTACTATTCAAGTTTTTATCATTGGACTGCTTGAATTTGTTAGGTCATTTGACAATATCATCTGAAAATAGTTTGAAGGCACAGTTCTCTATATAGGAGTTGAGTAAGCGTTCAAGACAGCATCTGGAAGAAGGCAGGTGCCAATACCTCCCGGGTGTGGGGGCAGATGTGGGAACTAAGGCCCCCATGAAGCTCACTCAACTCAGTTATGCTGTCCCGAAGAACACAGGTGGGCAGGCAGGTGGGCAGTGGCTGGGGGTGAGCTGGAGTGGGGTGAGGGAGAGGGGACGAGGCCAGGGTGAGGTGAACACGCTCACACATGCGTCTGGTATACTGGGCACATGGACAGGCACAGAAGAACATTTGGAGATACCTTGACCCCTTAAAAATGGTTGCAAAATCCAGGTAATGATTACCTTATTCAGTGTCTGGAAGTGCTGAATCCACCCCAGTCGTTGGCGGCTTCAGTTTTTGTGTTCACAATGCAGGAACTGTGTGTGTGTGTGTGTGTGTGTGTGTGTGTGTGTGTGTGTGTGTGTGTGTGTGTGTGAGAATTTGCTCTGAAGGCCTTATCGAGGAGAAGATTGCTTAGCTTCTGAAATGGGTGATGGAAAGAAATCAAGGTTGGTACCTGGCAGAGATAGGTTCAAGAGTGAGTAGGCCTGAGTTAGGAGGCAGGCAAACATCCCCCTTAATCAGAAACAAAACACACACAGACAGCACATGGTCAAGGAGAACGCCAGGTGTGGACCAGACAAGGGAGAGATCAGTCAGGCACAGGGGTTCCCTAAATGGTCCCCCAAGTATCCCCCAGCCATAACCTTGGGTCTCCCACCTCCATCTGTTCCCTTGATCTGTGGCCATTGAGAGGGAGGGTCCTGAGCTTGCCCGCCATTATGAGTTTCTGGTGTGGCTCCATTGGTTAATGAAGACAGGCCATCCCAGGCAAATACTTGCATCCTGAGGTTTTGGGGGCTGCTTATGTAATGGGAAGTGTCCATTGTCAGTGAGGGAGGGTGTTAAGTCATGGAAACTGATCATACCATCCTGGAAGCAGAGCCATCTTTACCCTTTCCCTGCTGTCTGTTCAGGTATAAACCCTCGCGTGAAGTCGGGACGTTTCATGAAAATTCTTCCCGATTACGAGCACATGGAGTACAGAGATGTTTACACCTGCCGTACGTACCTCCTGCTGGCTTTGGCTTTTGCGGGTGAGCACGGCCGAGAAGCTGCATGGAGAGGGACCTCTAACTCCGGGCACAAGGACTGCTTGGGTGTGAAGAGCAAGCTGCCCTCCTTGGCTTTTGCTGTTTTCTTACCTTTGTTGTTCTCTGTGGCTCAGCCACAGCTGAGGCCACACCTGAGCTGTGGCCCTGGGTCGGCTACACACATAGGCCGGGATTGCACAGAAGCTTTGGGGTTTTTGGATAGTACCAACAAGACCACTCTGTTGATGCACGTTTTAATACTTATCGTTCATTGAGGCTAAGGGGAGAGGACAGGGTAGAAACTTTAAAACACTTCTGCTCCAAAATTAAATGTAAGTGGTTTGCTTCTAGATATCATTAGTCCATCACATTATAATAGCATATGTGAATTAAAAAATGTTATACAAGATACACAACACTGGGCAGGAGTGAGTAGAAGCAATTGATTATTTGCTGATTGGCAAATAATCTGATTCCTCTCTTGATTGGCATTTCTTGAGTCTGGAAATTTCCCTGAACTGTATTACACAAGTCTTAGCTCTGTTAGGTTGAACTCAGGTGGAAAGTGAGTGTCTGTTGTCAAGAAGACATCACATGTGTCTGCTAACACTAAAGGACGTTTTTATGTTCCTAGAAGCACACTGCTCCCTGCTATTGCTCATACCCCTCTGAACCCTCCACCCTCTGTGGAGGGCCTGCTGGAGCAGACCCGCTCCTGAGTCTTAGATACACAATTTCTTTTTTTTTTTTAATAAATTAATTTTTATTGGTGTTCAGTTTACCAACATACAGAATAACACCCAGTGCTCATCCCATCAAGTGTCCCCCTCAGTGCCCGTCACCCATTCACTCCCACCCCCCGCCCTCCTCCCCCTCCACCACCCCTAGTTCATTTCCCAGAGTTAGAAGTCTTTATGCTCTGTCTCCCTTTCTGATATTTCCCACACATTTCTTCTCCCTTCCCTTATATTCCCTTTCACTATAATTCATATTCCCCAAATGAATGAGAACATACACTGTTTGTCCTTCTCTGATTGACTTACTTCACTCAGCATAATACCCTCCAGTTCCATCCACGTTGAAGCAAATGGTGGGTATTTGTCGTTTCTAATGGCTGAGTAATATTCCATTGTAGATACACAATTTCTAACAAAACCTATGGGAGCAGAGGAAATAGAGTTGCTTACAGGATCTCTTCTAACTCCTGTCAGATTGTGGACATTTAGCTGAAGTGTGCTTGCTGGTCTTGTGGTGCTCGGATACCATCCTGGTGCCAGTGCGAAGATGCCTGGACCTAGTTAGCGTCCTTTGGAGTGTGTACAACAACTGTGCATAGCTCCTGAGAACACTCACCTCCTTCCGTATCATCAGGCCCAGAGCCCATCTGCTTAAATGGAGACCAGTAACAAGGGCGCTTGTCAGTGTATAAGAGCAGGTGTAAGGAGCTGGCTGGGCTGTCAAGGGGGTCGGATGGGTCAGGTCTGGAGTCTGAGGCATGAATTGGGTTCTTTCTGAACCCTGTCTGAGGTCGCCTCTAGCATATTTTGTCATAGATTAATCCACACCCACCCTCCCACTTAACAGTCAGTGAGCAACGGTGCCTCATCCAGCCCAACCTCCCAGAAATGTCCACTGTGACGGCTGGCTTGTGAGGACCTTGGGACCTGACACTGTTTCTGTCTCCCTTATCCACTTGTCCTTTCCTGGAGCTCTTGAGACCCCATGTTCACTGGTCCCCTGGTTTCTGTGATCTCTGTTGACTGAGTGTAGACACTGTCTCCGGGGAGAGGCAAGTCAGCCTACCTAGGCTAACCTTTGAGGAGCTTTGTGGTCCCACATGAGCTGCTTTTTGCTGTATCACTTTTGCTTATTCTATCAGGCCACATGTTGCCTGATACTCTTGGAAGTCCCATGTAGGGCATTAGGAGCATTGCGGGGATGCACTGTGTTCACAACATAGCTAACGTGTTTGTGTGTGAATTGATTGTGACTGTGTAACCACAGGGCTCTGGGTTTTAAGGATCCCCCCTAGAATTCTCACGGTGCTCCAGATGGCTCTAGTAGATAAAGAAGTTTGATGGAACATCGTGCACCCCTTGGGGAGGAGATGGGTAGGCGACTTTGAACATTTGGGCTTGGATGACAAGACATCTGGCTGCACAGGTAGAGCCTGACGGGAAGGCTCCTCCAGAGTCCAGACTGCCAAGAGCACACGGGGCATCCTCAGGAAGGGGGAGACCACTGGCAAGTATAGCAACAGGAAGGTGCTCCTCCTCCAGAGTGCAGGCGGCTCCAGCAGGAAGTGCCTTTGAGAGAGGGCGGCAGCCTGCCCATCACCTGGCCGAATTCTTAGAGCCTGTGCAATGTTCTTTCTCATCTTGGTCTGAATGTAGATTCTGTGTCCTGCACCTTGACACTGTTCCTTTATTAGTTTGGTGGGTTTTTGATGAAGTCTTTGGGGTTTTCTACATACAGTATCAAGTCATCTGCAGGCAGTGACAGCTGTACTTGTTCATTTCTAGTTTGAATGCCTGTTATTTCTTTTTCTTGCCTGGTCATTGAGGCTACAACCTCCAGTGCTGTGTTAAATACAAGTGACGAGAATGGGCATCCCTGCCTTTTTCCTGGCCTTAGGAGAGGAAAGCTCTTAGCTTTTCTCTGTCGAGTATGGTGTTAGCTGGGGGTTTCTCATATATGGCCTTTATTATGTTGAGGTATGTTTCCTCTTTTGACCCACTTTGTTGAGAGTTTTTTAATCATGAGTAGATGTTGAATTTTATCAAATGCTCTTCATCTACTGAGAAGATACAGGATTTTTATCTGTTTTTTTGTTAATGTGGTGTTACCACATTGATTTGTGGGACATTGAACCATTTATTTATCCCTGAGATAAATTGCATTTGATTATGGTTAGTGATCCTTTTAATGTACTGTTGAGTGTGATCTGTTTGTATTTTGTTGAGGATTTCTGCATCCCATTCATCAGGGATATTGGCCTCTCATTCTCTTTCCTCTTGTGGCCCTCTTGTATCAGGGTCATTCTGGCCTTACGATATGAGTTTGGACATGTTTCCTCCTCCGATTTTGTTTTAATTTACCAGAAGCTACTAGCAAGTGACAGGAGATACATTAGTTGCCTTTATGATAATGCTTTGGACAGGAGGGACATATGGGAGCACCCCCACCTGGAACCCCTACTCTGCTGTGTCAGGAGTGGTGGTCTAGGAACGCCCAATGGCCGTGCTGGTGGAGAGCCAGCTGTCCCATGTGAGGCCACGGCAGCCGTGTGCAATAGCGACAGTGCGGCAGAGAGTCGGCTCCCAGCCCATGCTGCGCCCAGGACAGTCATATCTTTTGGATTTAGTGTTGTCTTGTGCCAGGAGTTTCCCGCTTGCCTTCTTGAGCGGCCTTCCTGTTAGCAGATGAGAATCGCTGGCACTGATGAGGACAGGGTGTCTTCCCGTTAGTGCTTGGGTGGAGAGGTCCCTTAGCCAGCTTAGATTGTTTCCCATTTTGCGGAACAGGGGACGGTTTCTTATGTTTTTTTCTGAAGATGGCCACATTGACCTTGGGAACAACAACAACAAAAAAAAAACAAAAACCTGAGTCCTGCTCTGTGGGGCTGGAGCAGCAGCATTTTCTTGGTTTTCACGAGTAATGGAATTCCCTCGTGTTGAGGCTCTTTCTGCATGTGAACTGAAGCTCTACCGTGTCCTAACGCCCATGACAGTAAAGCACCCAAAGGGTCTGAAGCAGTCACCTCCCCATCTCAGGCCTGATCCTGTTCTGCCCAGACTGTAACCTGATCCTGTTCTCTCCTGACCCATGGTCAGCGGCTGTTTGGAAGCATTGTGGGGAGGCTCTGTGCGAGCTGGGGGTCTTCCTGCAGGTGAGATGCCCCTTTGGGTCTGGGGAGTGCCTTGCACCAGGACATCTCATCCCAGGCTCGTCCTCTGACTGTGCAGGGGCAGGTTGAGGGTCCCGGGGAGCATGAGGGAAAGTGCATGAACACATGCACACTCCTTGTATTGCTAAGAGGCTGGCCTTCCCAGCAGGGCTCCAGGCATTAGCAGATGACTCCAAACGTGGCCCCTCTCCCGGTGTGGACACCCAGAGTGTTTGTGTGTGATTCAGGTGGACACTTTCAGTCTGGAGGCACCCTGGGCTCAAGCTGGACTTGATTCTAGATGGTTGTATTTTTTAAAGTATATCTCCTAAAACACAGACTGTTAGGAAATGGCTTGTCCTGCCCAGAGGTTAGTGCAGAGGTTGCCTGCTCATAGCCTGGTGGGTAGTGCTGGTCTCTGATTCTCTCTTGGACGGTCTGGAGGGTGGTCTCAGGCTGAGTGAGCCAGTGTTGTGTCAGCAAGAGTCATGAGGGGCACAGTGATTTTTCTAACACGTGCAGAGCTTATACATCGAGACCCTGCCACTCTAAGCAGACATCTGGGAGGTGGTGTTTTATTTCAAAGAGCTGTAGCTTGGGGATCCCTGGTGGCTCAGCGGTTTAGCGTCTGCCTTTGGCTCAGGGCGTGATCCTGGAGACCCAGGATCGAGTCCCACGTCGGGCTCCCTGCATGGAGCCTGCTTCTCCCTCTGCCTGTGTCTCTGCCTCTCTCTCTCTCTCTCTCTCTCTCTCTCTCTCTCTCCCCCCCCGTGTTTCTCATGAATAAATAAATAAAATCTTTAAAAAAAAATAAAGGGATGCCTGGGCAGCTCAGCAGTTGAGTGCCTGCCTTCGACAGAGGGCGTGATCCTGGAGTCCCATGTCGGGCTCCCTGCATGGAGCCTGCTTCTCACTCTGCCTGTGTCTCTGCCTCTCTGTGTGTCTCTCATGAATAAATACATCTTAAAAAAAAAAAGCTGTAGTTTTTATCACTTATTAGAGCATAAGCATGGGGAGGGTCAGAGGGAGAGGGAGAAGCAGGCTCCCCACTGAGCAGGGAGCCAAATTAAGGCTGGATCCCAGGACCTGAGATGATGACCTGAGCCAAAGGCAAATGCCTAACCAACTGAGCCACCTAGGTACCCTTAAAGAGCTGTAGCTTTTAAAGCAAAACAGGGAACTCTCCCTTCAAAATTGCCAAGAATCTTTCATGTTCTTTGAACATCCAGGGTCTCCAAGATGGTAGATGGATTTGGAAAGAACCAGACCATTGCTAAGCAGTCAAGCTGGGGACTAGGGAAGGAGGAGACAAGAGGGGATGGTCGTCATGCTGAATGGGCCCATTTATTTACTCTCCAATATTCTATCATGAATCTTTGAAAACCTACTAAAAAAATAGAGGGGATTGTAGAGCAAACACCCACTTACCATCACCAGATTCTACAGCCCTCAGCAGCACTTTATTATCACGCAGCTGTCCATCCGTCTGTCTCTATCATTCCACTTTTTGGTACATTTCGAAGTAAGTGCCAGATCCTCTCTTATTTTATCCCTAAATCCTTGAGTGTACTTGTCACTGTCTGGAGTTCACTATTTGCTTATGGTTTCTGATCTGCCCCCTTTTTTTTTTTGCTTGTTTATTAATCACAAAAACTATCAGCGTATGCCAGTAAGATAACCAGATTGCCTGCTGTGCCACTTGTAAACCGAATCAGATTGCACACAGGATGCACGGCAGGTGGTTGGAGACCGTACACGCTCATCTGGAAACCTGTGTGCCTAGGCTGAAACCTCAGGTGGCAGTATTTGCCAGCCAGATGTCTGCATACTTCAAAGGCCTGGCCTGCTTCTGGCCTCAGCATCCTATTCCCTGTACCCTAAAGCCAGTGGTGACCTGGTAGCCGCTGTCCCGTCTCCAGTGTCCACTTGGCCCTGCTGGCTGGGGCTTCCTTCCCACAGAATGGCGTAATCCTGCAGTTCCAGTGCTCAAGCCCATCCCTGGCTCCTGCTATGTATTTGCCAGGGTTCGCCAGACAAACAGAGCCAGCTTCTTTAGATAAATTTATTGTAAGGAATTGGATCCCACAATTAATATAGACTAAAAAGTCCCAAGATCTGCTGTCAGTAAGCTGGGGACCCAGGGGAGCTGAGGGTGTCGTTAGAGTCTGAAATCTGGCTGGCTCAGCGCCATGTAAGAGCCTACCTTTCTGTTTCAAGTTCCAAGTTAAAGAAGACTGATATTGAAGTTCACACAGGCAGACTTTCCTTGTTTGTGGAAAAGCCTTTTCTTTCCAGGCTGTCAACTGATTGGACAAGGCCCACCACATTAGGGAGGGCAGTCAGCTTTACTCATTGCACTGACTTAAGTACTAATCTTAATCTGAAACATCTTCACAGATACACCAAGAATAACATTTGACTGAATGTGTTGTCATAGGTCACAGGTGGTACTGTCACTGACACAGGGCTGTTGGGTTTGTGTGCCCAGAGCAAGCTTTTCACTGTAGTGGTGGTTTTTGGTCCAGTTGCTTTATAGACACACGTCACATACAGATGCCAGTATCCCAGCATTAGAAGAATCTAGGCCCTGTCTGCCTTATTCCTAGGAAGGACCTGTCTCAATTGTTGATTCCATCACTGATGGGGGGCTCACTACTTTACAAGGGTGCTCATTCTGTTTTTCAAGACAGTGTCTTTGGCACTGATCACTTAGGGGCTGGGTTTCAAAGCAGCCTGGTTGTCTGTTTTGTTACGGTTTTCTTTTTTTTTTTTTTATTTTTTATTTATTTATGATAGTCACACAGAATGAGAGAGAGGCAGAGACACAGGCAGAGGGAGAAGCAGGCTCCATGCACCAGGAGCCCGACGTGGGATTCGATCCTGGGTCTCCAGGATCGCGCCCTGGGCCAAAGGCAGGCACCAAACCATTGCGCCACCCAGGGATCCCTTGTTACGGTTTTCAAGGAGACATTTTCCTTCTTAGAATTCTTTAGAAACTTTTAAAGATCTGCTGAAATCCACCTTTCTGTTCAAGGCTATGTTCCCGGCCTCCAGGAGTCCCTTGTGCACAGTTCCCTGCTCCGTGTCTCATCCTCTCCCTTGGTTCCTGTGAAGTGCAGACTGGCTGCCTTCAGTGTCAAGTCTTTCTCTCTTTTTTCTCTGTCTCCCTGTAGTGCTTCATCGATACAGACACATTCTGGGATTGTGGCAGCCGGACATCGGGCCCTACGGAGGATTGTTGAATGTGGTGGTAAGTCTGGGAGTGCGGCAAGCCCACTGTCGCCTATGTGATGGCATGGCAATCATTAGGGGCCACATGCTGTTCTGTAATTGGTTCTTAGCCTTCTCATTGCATCCTTGGACTTTGTGGTTAGGAGCCACCAGTTGGCACAAGGGCGTCTTTCCTCCTGTATCCTGGTCCCTGCTCCCTGGACACCTCAGGCCCTTGTGCACGCCCACAGGACACTCTAGTTTTGGGGTGTGCACTGGTTTATTGTTCTAAATGAGGAGCCCTGGGAGCCTCGGATGCTGGCCCTCTGGCCCTCGGGGCCGCATGGGGTATCGGAGCAGGTGACCCATCACTGAGCCCCAAGGCACACCCCAGCTGTGACTCGCTCTGTGTGCCTTGTTTTGTTCCACAAATGCTTATGAGTACTTACCTTATGAGTAAGACATATCTAGCAGCCAGGGAGGCATGCTGACGTGCTGTTGTGTCAGAGTGAGTTACACAGCAGGCACCCTGGCCTCGGGACCAGGAGCCTCAGAGCAAAGTCAGAAAGTGGGGCTGTGAGGCCCTGGTTTTAAATATTTTCTCACCTACCACAATAATACTGGTGTCAGGTCAGCATCCCGGATGGGTGGGAGAAACAGCAGTGAGCACTTTGTGGGAAACCGTGTTTCTACCATCTAGAAGCATCTCCCCACAGAGCCTGTACACTCACTGTCTTAGCTTCCAGGGGCCGACATTCCAAAGACCACATACCAGGTGGCCTAAAGCAGCAGAAATGTATTCTGTCACTCTTCTGGAAGCCTGACGTCCCCAGTCGGCATTCCTGGGCTGAGATCAAGGTTGCAGGGCTACTGCTCTCCCTCTGAAGACTCTAGGGGAGCATCCTTCTGCCTCTAGCAGCTGCGGGGTTCAGGCGGCCCTCTGCTGTGGTCTCCCTCCTCCTGCCTCTGCCTCCGTCCTCCTCTGCTCTCCCCTCCTGTGTCTCAGACCTGTCTGCCTCCCTGTTATGGGGGTGCAGGTGATGGCGTTTAGGGCCTGCCTGGGTGACCCAGAAGCCTCTGAAGAGCTTTTCCTTCACATCTGTAAAACCCTCTTTTTGCCATGGACAGTGGTGATGCTCATAGGTTCCAGAGAGGATGTGGACTTCCTTGGGGGTTGTTACTTAGCGATCCAGATGACAGGGAAGGAAGAAGGGCCTTTATTGGGGAGAGATGTGGCCAGCAGCGCCCATCCTGGTGATCCATGTTAACTAACCAGCAGTGGGACTCTGACACAGCCCCTCCTCTCTGGATCTCCTGCCAAAAATACACAGCCTGGATCCAATCACAGGCACCTCTTCACACAGACTGACCCTGAGGGTTGAGCCCCAGAAGCACTGCCCTCCGCCTTCTGAATATCAGGCTCACCGAAGGCAAGAAGGGCTGATGAGCTGAGCACCGGGAACAAGGGGGGTCAGGGCCAGCAGAAGAGGACCAGAGGGGACGGCCTGCCTGGCGGGAGCAGGGGCTGCTTTGGAGGCAAGCACTCTGTGCTGACAGTAGCCTGACTGCAGTCCCATGAGGGGCCCTCCCTGCCAGGCTGCTACTGAGAGCAGAGTTTCTGGTTGCTCTCGCTGCCTATTCTTTCCTGCAGTGGTAGACGTTGTTAAGGAGTTACCAGCTGGATGATTCTCTTCCTCAGATGAGGTCAAGCTGGTCAGATGGTCCTCAACCACCAGGTCTTGTAGGGATGTGCTATGGCTCTGTGTCTTAAGTTCCTAGTGTTGGGGGTCCCCCCTCTATACCCACCCCAGGAGTTCTCTGAGGACCCCCATCCTTGGCTTCGTGGAGCTGGATTGACCCTCATGCTGCTCAGCCAGCCTTGGGCCCCTCAGCAGGTCCTGGGGCTCTGTCTTCGCACAGCTCCCTCCTTTCTGGGACTTTGACCCTCATGCTCCAGCCTCACCAGCCACCTGGGACCCTGATCTCTGTTCCCTCCGGTCAGAACTGCCAGTTCCACGTGACCCCCTCTGAGCCCTGGTCTAGAAGGTGCCTCTGGCAGGGTCACCTCTTCTCTTCTGTGGGGTCCTAGCCTTGCATGGCCTGCTGTCCGGGGTCACTTTAGTGATCACAGCAGTCCCCGTTACTCCACGATGGCCAGGATGTAAGTCTGGCTTCATTTTTTTGTTCTTTTTTTGATGATGTTTTCCTTTGTATTGAGTTGTCTTGAATATTAGTCAAAGTTCCTTTAGAGTCTGTGACCTCCAGTTCAGTTTACAGTCTCCCTTTTTCCTCTGGATTTTCAGGCATGGCAGTTGGGCTGCCAGGGTGCCTGCACATCTGGCCATGGATGCTGCCCCCAGGAAGGTGCTTGTTCTGTGGCCTGGGGTCACAGAGTGCCTTGCTCTGACCAGGTGTAATGAGCGCTGATCTCATTCCTGGTGGCCCCATCCACAGGGTGTCCCCATCCACAGCCTGGGCACCACCTGCTCTCCAGAGCCTGCATTTCCCCTATCAGGGAAGGGACACCGCTGATGACTCTCATGGCTGGTTGGCTTCTCTATCTATAGCCCCTCATGGGTTAGGATCCAGAAGATGCCTCAAGGGCTGAGCTGTATACATTGTGTTCCCAGCTTCTTTGGGATCCTGGCCTAGACCCCTGGTCTCTGTGGCAGCCCTGGGGACTCCAGCGCCCCACTGCCCCTCTGCCCAGCCACCAGCAGTCAGGGACCTGGGGCAAAGGGGTGGGACACTCTGTACCCTTCGGCTCATCTCAAGCCTGTCCCTTCTTTTCAGGCTCTTGGTCCTTGTTTTGGGGCCACTGTGTGTGCTCCCTGGTGTCTTCAGGCAGCACTTAAACTGTGATGTGTGCAGACTTCACAGCTGGTGTTAGAGCAGGGCTGCTCGGTCTAAGACCCTGGGTCCAAGGCAGGCGGAAAGTCTTGCAGTCTCATTTTTATATGCTGCTCAGTTGCTTGCCTGTCATGTTTTGAAATGTAGCTGCTCATTTTTAGTGCTTTACGGGCGTCTGTATCATAGGATGTGTCACTTTTCTGGGTCTCTGTAGTGTGGCTCTTCCTTACTCCTCGAGCTTGCTGTGTGCTCTCTGAGCAGAAGCCCTGGGACTGGGGGTGTCCAGGTGTCTAGCCCCCATGTTGCTGCGGCTGATGCTGTAGCGTGAATGGAGTCTTGTGCCTTCAGGGAGCCCTGGTGTTCTGATCTTGCTTCCCTCTGGTTGCATATAGCTGTGGTAGGCTGGAAGCTTGAGTCCATGCCTCATTCACAAGCGCATCTAAAAAATGGCATGTTGGGGCCTCTGGATGGCCTCAGGGTGGGCTCTTGAAAACTTGCCTCACATGGGCCACCTGGAGGCTCTGGGTGCTCTGTCACTCTGTATTTCGCTCACCAGGTGGGGTTTTGGACAGAGATAAATAGTGCTTCGTATTCTTTATGATTCAGTGGAAACATCCATTAAGAAACACGCTTTGTATTTATGTTTAACGTCACTGGGGAAAGCCTTGCATTTAAAAGGTTTCTTACAGGGCAAACCAGACTGCTCCCAGCGTGGGCAGACTGCTTTGCTTTCCATGCTTTAGGCAGGGAGAGTGATAATTGTTTTTCTTACTGGCAATGACTAATAGAGTAAAAAAAGAAAAAAAAAATTTTTTTCAGCTTCTGAAAGAGGATAATTAGGGGGAGATGGCAGACCAGTGCCAGCTCAGCCTCGTCAGGTTGGCTCGCTGCAGAAGTGGGTGAGCTGGAGCGAGCCGCAGGCACCCAGGCTCCCCCGACTGCAGGGCCTCTGGCCTTGGGGAGCGTGCGGCCTGCCGTCCTGGGGACCACTCCTGCTCTGACCTCATCTCCGCCACTGTCTGCCTGCCACCGCATTGCGCTCACTGGAGTAGTGACAGCAGCGCTGACAATCCCTCCTTGTTGAGCACGGCAAGCCCACAGCACTGGTCTCCTCCCTTGCCTCTGGTTTTCAGGCATTTTAAAGCAGATCCCAGGCCCATGCCCTTTCATCTGTTTGTACCGTGTGTATCTTTACAGAATGTGGCTGTTTCCCTGCACGTGGGCCTTGTCCTTACACCACAGTATAGAGGTGGATGCGGCCTGAGGCCCAGTCTGCATCTGTCTCCCTGAGGCCAGGAGAACTGCCTAGGCATAGGAGCTTGCTGGGAACTGGGTCTGCAGCAGCCCCCTGTGACATCTGTGTGGGTGCTGTGTGGGTCTCTGCTGCCAGAACTAGCCCCCCATTTTCACTGATGGGTCAGATGCTGACTAGGTGCCTCCTATCCTGAGTTATTTGGCCTTTTTCTAGCATCATCTGGCCTGGTCCCCTACTTCAGACCTGGCCGTTCTCTCTAAAACTTGCAAATGTTTTGCTCCAAAAGTCAAACTACTTTTTTTTCAATTTTTAAAACAAAATTTGCTTATTTTTTTCTTTAAAAATTTATCTTTTTACTGAAGTGTAGCTGAACATGGTACTATATGAGTTTCAGCTGTGTGGCATAGTCTGCACGCTGTGCTCACAAGAGCTGCTGACTTGTTACCTGTTCTCACTGTCTTACTTTTATGACTGTTCCTCAAACACCTGGAAGCCTGTACTTCCCCACACTTTGCCCATCTCGCCCGTGCCCCCCCCACCCTGGAAAATATCCTTTGTTTTCTATTGATCTGTTTCTGCTACTTTGGTTTGTTTTCTTTCTTAAATTCCACATAAGAGTGAGATCATACAGTACTAGTCTTTGTTGATTGACTTCTTTCATTTAGCACTGTGCCCTCTAGCTCCATCCATGTTGTTACAAATGGCAAGATTTCATTTTTTTTATGTCCATTGTGTATATATACCATATCCTCCTTATCCACTCATCGGTGTTGGTGGGCACTTGGGCTGCTTCCATATCTTAGCTGTTGTGGATAATGCTGCAGGTACATTTCTCTTTATTTTCAGCTTAATTGAGAAACACTGGGCAGGTAGAAGTGTAAGGCGCATGACGAGTACTTCTCGGTGGTTGGTATTTATACACTGTGCACAAATCTGGGGTTAACATATAGGCCACTTCTTTTTTGGTGAAAACATTTAAGTTCTAATCTCTTAGAAGATTTCAGTTAGGTTGCAGTGTTGTCAAAGACAGTCCCCGTGTTTGCAGTAGAGAGCTGCTTTTTAATGAACAGACACTTGGTAGGTGGGCCATGCTTGCTGTGGTGTGCTAGGTGGGGCACCATGATGCTCACCAGCCCTGAGATCCTCCATGGGGCCGCAGTATGGAGATGAGAATGGTTCTTGTGAACAGAGTAGGGTGGGACCTTCTGCCCCAGCACCTCCTCCTGAACCTTGCGTGGACTTGTGCTCTTTCTCCTCACTGTAGGTTGATGGCCTGTTCATCATTGGCTGGATGTACCTGCCTCCTCACGACCCTCATGTGGATGACCCAATGAGATTCAAGCCCTTGTTCAGAGTCCACCTGATGGAGAGAAAGTCTGCCACGGTGGAGTGCATGTATGGCCACAGAGGGCCCCACAATGGCCACATCCAGGTGAGCGCTCGGGGTTCCCTAGGTGTATAGCTGTGTGCAGACAAGGAACTAGGGCTCCTCTGTCCTCCCTGGTCTCAGTGGCAGCCGGGGCACAGTGCTGGCTGAGTGGCTGTGGTATTCCCAGTTACAAACCTGTGTCCACACTGAGTAGTGATCATGGGAGGAAGTGGGGGCTCAGCCCCACCCTGGGGTGCGTTATCAATGTGCAGGTGCTGTGATGCAGCCCCTCAGAGACGTACTTGCTCGGACTCTCCATGGATTCTGTGTTCAGTTTAAATGGGTTGTTGTTTTTGCCATGATTCGTCAGTGCTCCCTGGTTTCTTTTTTGCAAGAATATGAACTTGAACTTGGAATAAGACACTGTGCTCTCTGATAAAAGTTTGGTAGACGGCCACCCCAATAAGCATGTGTGTTACTTAACACACTGTGAAAGCACCAGTCCCTTTTTTTTGCTGTAAGATGCCCTCCTGGGCAAACGTACATGCACTGTCTCCTGAGGAGGAGGTGCATGCTCAGGTGGCTCTGAGCTCCCTTCTTTGGACTGGCCAGGATTCAGTGGCATCTTGGGCTTCTGTGTGCATGTGGGTTATGTTGGTGTGGGAGCGGTTGACCGTATTGCTCTGGCTGGTGGGGGTGCCGTGACTGATTCATTTCCCTCTCCTTTGTTGTGAATGCTCAAGATTGTGAAGAAGGACGAATTCTCCACGAAGTGCAACCAGACAGACCACCACAGGATGTCTGGTGGGAGGCAAGAGGTGAGCATGTACCCCTTCTGTTCACATGGTGCACATGTGAATTTAAACGCCTTGACATCACCAGTGTGCCCCCAGCAGAGGGCTGTCTCCCCCGGCTCGTCCTGACATGTGCGTCTGACCCTTCCATCAGAAAGGATTGTGTGTGTGTATCTGCGCCCAGGCTTTTCTTCCCTGTCACTCCTTAGAATGTATAAACCCAAGAGAAATCCTTTCCTCCAATTGGCTCTCTTTTGCCCCTTTGGCGACACATCTTTTTGGATGTAAGTCTTTTTGGATGTAAGTCTGCAGGGAGACCAGGGGGCTTTTTAGAGCCTCTGTGTTCTCCCCATGGTTGGGCTTGGCGGCTGAGATTTCTAGGTCTTGGCGTTGCAGCCGGGAGGCCACCTGTGAGCCACACCTCTGAGTTTCTTTGTACTTCCTTTTATTTGCATGGATAGTTTTCCATTGCCTTTGAGTTTTCCTTTTCTGAGGATCCAAGTCATACTGCCCTTTCAAAACATTCTTAAGAAAAACTTGGAACTTTTAGGGGCACCTGGGGTGGCTCAGTTGGTTAAGCATCTGCCTTTGGCTCACAGGGTTGTGGGATCGAGCCCCCTGTTGGGCTCCTGGCTCACTGAGGAGCCTGCTTCTCCCTCTCTCCTTCCCCTTGCTTGTGCTCTCACTCTCTCATGCTCTCTCAAATAAGTAAATGAAATCTTTAAAAAACAAAACAGAAACTTGAACTTTTAAAGTGTAGGATGCGGGGTAGCCCTGGTGGCGCAGTGGTTTAGCGCCGCCAGCAGCCTGGGGTGTGATCCTGGAGACCCGGGATCAAGTCCCACATCGGGCTTCCTGCATGGAGCCTGCTTCTCCCTCTGCCTGTGTCTCTGCCTCTCTCTCGCTCTCTCTGAATGAATAAATAAATAAATCTTTAAAAAAAAAATAAAGTGTAGGATGCTCATTGAGCTTATATTTATTTATTGGGTGTGCATTTCTTAGGTTCTGAGTCTGACGGTTTCCCTGTTAGCCAGAGAATTGCAGGGAGGTGTAACATAAAAATCATATGCATGTATGTCTGCGTCTGAAGAGTGCACACAAATGCTTGCTGGAACCCTTTGCAGGTAGATGAGGCCCTATTTGCTCAAATATACAGTGTGTGAAGGTGACAGGTGACGCAGATGCATTTTCACTTTACAACAGTGCCGTTGAGGATTGCCTGTATGGTCACACACATAGCATACAGGTGACTGCTCCAGTCCATGTTTCAGCGAGAAAGGTCAACATGTATTCTGAGAATAGAAACTCCTCAGCCGTTGACCTTAAAAAGGCCATGTAGTGTAGTGTAATTCTGGAAACACACAGGCATCAGGAAGAGGTCTTATAAGCTGCCTCTGTGTGTGGGCTCACTGATTTTGAAGTGGAATGGTATATTTTCTGGTTATAAAAGTATAACACTAGCCCTTTGTGGAAACTATAAGAACACATGGATTGTGGGTAGGAACAAAACTTTGCTGGTATCCAGACTGACCGAGGCTGAGATTAGGGCATGGTTAGGGCTCCACGTCGCTCCTTTTCTGTGACGTTAGTAAACATTCTCACTGCTCTCTCTGGTGCTGGTAGGTTTCTAGTTGATTTGTAGGAGCTTTCTTTTCATATCAGAGCATCAGTCCTTCTGGTGTGAGTTCCAAATAACTTTTTCTTATGTTTCTCTCTTTTAGTTTGATTCATGGTATATATATTTTTTTTATTTTTTTTGATTCATGGTATATTTTTATCCAGAAATTTTTTTGTCGTCAGAGGTCCGTCTTCCCCTGCCTTGCCCATGGAGAGTGGAAGGGCAGGGAGACGCTGTGTTTCCAGGCAGAGCAGAGGGCCGGGCTGCCTGCAGCAGGTGGTGGGAGAGCTTGCTGTTTGGCCCTGCAGTCACTTTGTCTCAGCTGCGTGCGGTCTCTCTGCTGCTTTTCTCTCTGTCCCTCTCCTGTCTCTCACTTCGGCCATGTGCGAATGGGTTCTGTGGATTTGTGAGTCAGTCAGAAATGTCTGCACATTCTTGTGGAATCTTTCTGATCCAGGGAATGGCTTCAGGCCCCAGGGAGAGATGATGGGCTGTAGGAGGACATCACCATGTGTCCCAGTAGCTCTGACATTGAGATGAAAGGCTGAGTCCTGCACTCTGGCTGCCTTGTGCTCGGATGGCTGATGGTCATTTAAAATTCTAGGGCCACGTGGTACTCCCAAGGGAACGGAGGGCTCCTGGCAGCCAGGAGGGCTAGGAGGGAACTAGGGCGGCAAGAACCATCTCCTCCAGGGGAGGAGGGAGTCCTCTCACACCCCCAGGGGATGGCCTGATGCTGCATCTCCTCCATTCTCCGTGGCACCAAGAGCTTGTTGGGGATGCCCTGGTGGCCCTGTGCCCACAGAGGAACCAGTGAGTGTCCATCCATTTTCTTGTGAAGGCCACAGCTGCTCTGTGGGTCTCTGGCTGATACACTGTGTCTTGCTCACCATCTCTCCCACTTGTCACACGCAGCTCCAGTCCCCGGGTTTCTAAACCTGCTGTGTCCACCTTTGAATGCCAGGTCCAGACTATCGTGGTGTATTCTGATGGCTGAGGCTGTGGTGCCCTCAGCCTGCCCCTCATGACACCTCCTGGGTGACCTCCTGTGTGCTCTGCACATTGCAGTCCCTCTCCTGGGGTCCTGTGAGCAGGGCAGGCCCTCAGGCCTACACAAACTCATCTCTCTTGGCCTTCTTCACAGATGAGGTAAGGCCCAGCCGCCATCTTCCCTGTTCATCCTGTGCCTGTCCAACCCCCAACCTGAGGCTTCTAGAAACCTAGAGGCTGCTTGGAGGAGGAGAGACTGCGCAGAGAGGCAGGAGGGAGGATGGCCAGGCCCCACCCCCTGTGATGCTGTGGGCATCTCTTGTTCCTCCTGACTAGGCCGTGGGCTTCTGCTGGCCCTGCTCACAGTGCGTTTTGCACTTAGTCCCGTAGAGAGGCTCTGGCATTAGACTCCTTGACTGGACACAAGTTGCTTTTGCTTCTTTGTCTTATATACTGAAGTATCTTCTCACCATCAAACATGCAATCATGGGAGCCCTACCCAGGAGCAGCCCCACATCCATCCTCTGTCATACCTTCTTGTTCTCCAAATTTTGTTTATGTAACTGCGATCTAACTCCATCTAATTTGGATCTTTTTTTTTTTTTAAGCTTTTTAGCTCTTCCAGAAATATTTTCCAGTCTCATTATAATTCTTTAGAAACTTTAACACAGCATTCCATCCGTAGGGTGATTGACTGCATGAGTGTAACTGCAGACATGGGGTTTGTGCTGCCATCCTGACCTCCTGCTCTAGTGACTTGCTGCTCTCTGAGAACTTCAGTCCTCATCTGTGAAATAGGGCCATAGAATTACCTGTGGACACCGATGTGGTTTGGAGGACTGAGTAGGGCTCTTCATGGGAATGCCTTAGTGCCTGGCTGGCCGTAGCCACCTGGCAGAGCCACCAGGTGTTATTCCTATAGCTGCCTGAACTCTATACAAAAACCTTCCCTGGATTTTGGATCATACAGAAATGGGATTTCCACGTAAAAGGCCCTGAAGGTTTTTTAAATTCTTATTATGTGTTGTTAGTTTGCTGGGTGAGCCCCCTGACTCCTGTGCTCCTGCTGGCCTTTGAGTTAGCCCTTGTGGAAACAAGGCCAGTTAGTTTGTGAACTTCAGAGTAGCTCTGATTCTACTGCTTCCTAGCTGGGTGACTTTAGAAAGTTTTCTCAAACTCTCCCAGCCCCCGCACATCTGTAGTACAGGGAAGGTGTGAGCACCTGTAGCCTGGGCCATTGTGTAAATGAAGGTGATGATTCTGTAGTGCCAGCACCTGGTGAGCAAGCGCTGAATAAAGATTATTCTTGTAATGTATGCTCTGGGCCCCTCTGTTTTTCCTTGTGCATGCATATCTCATGAGGTAATTTCATAATAAACATATCTCAGAGGTCTTTGTTCTGAGTAATTGGGTCTGGTTCTAATGACTCTGACCTTTTCATGCAAAGTAAACAAGATTATGACTCTTCACAAGCCCAGCTTCAAGTATTTAGCTCAAGTCTGATTACTTACCGTGGTGACATAAAATCCTTGCTCATTACCTTTGTTCACTTCCATTTTTATCTGTTATCTGTTTTGATTTTTTTAGGGCCTTATTCCATTTGAGTGGAAGGTTTTGACTTTGGTAAAGTCTAATTTGTCAAGTTTTTTCTTTTATAGTTATTGTTTTCTGTGTCTTAAAAGACTTTGCCTATCCCTAAGCTGCAGAGAGGCTCCCTCCTCAGAAGTTTGGTAGCTTCACGCTGGGTCTGTGGCTCATCTAGAGTGACTTCCTCTGTGTGGTGTGAGGCAGGGATTGTGGTTTCTTTTCTCCACATGGATGTCTAGTTATTGGAGTGTCATTTGTGGAAGAGACTTTTCCTTTCTTGTTGGGTGGCTTGGATGTATTTGTTGGAAAGAGACTGACCAGGTAAATGGGTCTGTTTTTTGGACTGTTTCAAAACAGTCCATTGACATATTTGTTGGCTCTGATGTTCATATCACTGTCTTGATTACTGTGGCTTTAGAGTGATTCATAATGTCCTGTGCATACTTTCTAATATGTATTCCCAAGTCATGTGTTGTCTGAGCCTGCTGGAAATAGGACTTAAAACTTTTCCTTTTCCGACTTCATTCTGCTAGTACAGAGACTTTCAGTTGATTTGCGGATATTGAGCTTGTGGCTCACTGGCTGTGTGCTCCAGTCACTGCAGGGAGGGGTTTCTGTGTCTGGCCAGAGTTTGGGCAAGGAACATATTAAAGCAAACAACAACAACAAAAGCAACCAACAGATGACAACTCTCTTGGTTTTTTTGTTATTAAATTGCTTTTGCTTCTGTTTGTGGAGCTAACTATGGATGGTCAATAGGAATGCTATATTGAGCTAGAACTCAGAGCTATGGATTAAGTTAAATGCACAGAATCAGGCTATTAAGTACTAAACATTCTTTGCATTGATCCTGTAATGAATGACTGAACTTTGAGGATGCAGTGTTTATAAAAACTCCTTTTTACAGATGAACTTTTGAATGTGTAACAACTGTGAAGGCACCTGCCTTCTCCTCTGGCCATACTTATCTTGTTCTTTATCGGCAGCTGCAGAAAGCAGCCAGCCAGTGTGACCAGCAGCCCCATAACCAGGTTCAGTGTAGATTCCACATGCCCCTTAGGTGGCCACAGCTGTGAGGCTTACATGGCTGCTACCTGGGAGCTCTGGACGTGGGCTGTGGCCCTAGCCTTGCCTGGAGGGATCCCATGGTTGTTGCCTGTTGAAGTCTGGGCCTGAGTGCTCTGGGAAGGTGGGGACCAGAGCCCCTCACTTTTTTTTTTTTAAAGATTTATTTATTTATTTATTTATGATAGACATAGAGAGAGAGGCAGAGACACAGGAGGAGGGAGAAGCAGGCTCCATGTCGGGAGCCCGACGTGGGACACAATCCCGGGACTCCAGGATCGCGCCCCGGGCCAAAGGGAGGCGCCAAACTGCTGAGCCACCCAGGGATCCCTGCCCCTCACTTTTCATTGGTGGCTGACCTCCATAGGAAGTAGGTCAAGGACTGGGAGACCAAAGTGTGGCAGCCCCCTCCTCCTTCCCATCCTTTATCTCCATACCGTCCACCCTCCTGGTACTCTGGCACAGGTGCACCCAAGGCATCACCTGCAGCTGTAAGAATGCTGCTTTTATCTACCTAGTGCCACAGTGAGTTCTCCATGCGAGTAATGTTGGTTTTCACGATCTGTATTCTCTTGGAAGGAATTCCGAACGTGGCTGAGGGAAGAATGGGGGCGGACACTGGAGGACATTTTCCATGAGCACATGCAGGAGCTCATCCTGATGAAGTTTATCTACACGAGTCAGTATGAGTAAGTGCAGTCTGCCCTGTGAGTACTGTGAGCACAGTCTCTCTGGGTACTGTCAGCCCAGTGCTCTTTCATGGTTACTGAGTTCCCCCTTTATGGATACTGTGAGCACAGTCTTGCTCTCTCTGGGTACTGTGAACACAGTGTCCAACCACCCTGCCCTACCTCCATGTCTGTTTGCTATCTGATTTATCATCATCTACTAACAGTGTGCTCTAACAAGCCTGGCCTGTGTGCCAGAGCCTCCCCACGTCTACTGGGGGAGGCCTCTGCTCTTAGTTGCTCTCCCTACCTCAGCCTCTGCCCCTGTCCCCATGATGCATTTAAATGGCCCCTTGTGCAGTGAATATCCTCTTTGCAGTTTTGGGGATTCCTATGCTAGGGTGATGGAGTGGGAGTAGTATCCCCTTCCCCTCTGTAGAGAGCTCTACCCCCGCAGTTCCCTTGTGCTGGTGGAGCGAACATGAGCTCTTAAGCCCTGTCAGAATCAGGAGGTGTGAGATGTACCCTGCGTGTGTTTTGAGGGGAGTGATTGTGGCTCAGGAACGTGGGGTGTCCCTGCTCCCCACTGGCCTAGAGGAACCTAAGCCTGGCTATACTAGGCCTTCCTGCCCGCCAAGCTGCTCTCATGCCCCCTGTTCCCCGCACAGCAACTGCCTGACCTACCGCCGCATCTACCTCCCGCCCAGCCACCCGGATGACCTCATCAGACCCGGCCTTTTCAAAGGCACCTATGGCAGCCATGGCCTAGAGATTGTTATGCTCAGCTTCCATGGAAAATGTGCCAGGGGCACGAAGATCACGGTGAGTCTGGGTGTGGCCCTGGTGGGCTCACCTCTGTGAACTCCATCTTATTAGCCTTGTGGTAGCAGGACTTGGGCTGCACTCTGGCTCCTCAGAGTGGGCTCTGGACCCATGGCACCCCTGCACTGGGGAGGTCGTTGGGACTGCAGAGTGTTGGGCCCCACTCAGATCCACTGAACCAGGCTTTGCTTTTTACAAGACCTCCAAGGGATTTGCAGCATTTCTAAGGTGGCTTTACCACATGGTTCTCAGTCCTGGCCACACACCGAATCCCTGGGGATGTTGAGACCCTGATGCTGGGCCCTCTGATTCGGAGGGGGCGGCGAGTGCGGGCTGGGTATGTGGCTTCATGAGCTTCCCTGGGGACTGTAAGGTGTGGCCACATTGGAGATGTCCTGCATTATTACACAGGCTCCCATCCTGGCCTCAGCACCTCACAAACAGTGGGAGGGTTGTTGAGCTGAACGGGGGTCTTGAACAAATGGGCACCATCCACACCGTGCTCACCCATCCTACACGTAGTTGGGGTGCATTTCTCACAGGTGCACTATAGTCTCCTGGGGAGCAGTGCCTCTCCTTTGTTCTCAGGGAGCTTTGCTCTTAGACCTTGATGGGCCAGGGTCCCTGTGCCCTGGGAAGGCTCCTGGTGAGCAGAGCCCAGTACTGGGGCCCCTGGTGGGACTGAGGCCTGGAGCATTTCCTAGGTTCGGGCTCAGGTGTGTGTGTGTTCCAAACAGATCTGGGCTGCCGCCTGACCCTGGAAGGGTCTGTGCCTTTCCCTTACCCTCAGTCTTCTAGAATGGGGAGGTTTTTATATCTGGAGTCTTTTTTTTTTTTTTAAGATTTTATTTATTTATTCATGAGAGACACACAAAGACAGAGAGAGGGGCAGGCTCCATGCAAGGAGCCCGACACGGGACTCGATCCCAGGTCTCCAGGATCAGGCCCCAGGCTGAAGACGGCGCTAAACCGCTGAGCCACCCGGGCTGCCCTATATCTGGAGTTCTTGAGTGCCTGTGAGCCACTGTGCCAGGTGCTTGTGTCCTTCTCGAGTTCACGTACAAGATCTTAGCCCCTGTTTTCACAGATTCCTTCACAGATGAGGGTGCCTGCTGTAGGCACTTACTTTTAAGGGCTTCTAAAATAGTCTTACTTCAGAGGGGTTGCTGCTAAGTCAGTAGGATTGCTGGAGTGAGCTGATTTGTCCAGAAGTGTGATCTAGGCTGGAAACTGTGCACAGTGTGTCTCTGCTGGTCCCTGAGCCCTGCTGACAGCCACACGCTCGCTCCTCAGGGGGACCCCAACATCCCTGCTGGGCAGCAGACAGTGGAGATCGACCTCATGCACCGTATTCAGCTGCCTGATGTGGAGAGCCTCCGCAACTTCAATGAGCTCTCGCGCATCGTCCTGGAGGTTCGGGAGCAGGTCCGTCAGGAGCAGCAGCAGCAGGAGAACGGGCCCGAGGATGGTGAGGGCCGAGGCCAGCAGAGTCCCCGAGAGCCCCAGCGGGGCCCTGTCCAGCCCAGCGCAGAGCTGCCTGCCGAGAAGGGCGGGGAGTCTCGGGATGGAGAGGCCGAGGCTGCAGCTCCACCTGCACCTGAGCAGCCCGCCCAGTCAGGGCAGGGGCAGCCGTTCGTGTTGCCTGTGGGCGTGAGCTCGAGGAACGAGGACTATCCCCGCACCTGCAGGATGTGGTAAGAATGCCCGGGCAGGCGTGACAGGCTTTCCAGGGAGTCCTGCCTTACCACCTGGCACAGAGATGGGCAGTGGGGGCCAGGCTCAGTGCTGGCCAGTGTGGGGGCTCCCTGCACTCGGGTGGGGAGACCCTGACAACTCTGGTGGAGTCCCAGCTTGGCCCCCAATGAACAGTGCCCTTCTCTGGGCTGCACAGCCACAACTCAGACTTGGGAGGCTCCCAACCTCTCACCCCCAGGTGAGCCTCGAGGGGGCCTTATTAAACCTCCAGGCATGAGGCTTCCTTCCCAGTGCCTTCCTGTGGCCTCGTTAGGTGAAAGGGAGACAGGTGAGTCTGCAGGTGGCATTGAAAACAGCTGGGGAGAAGATGTCTTTCCTGTACCTGTCCCCCAGAAGCCGGCTTGAGTTTACCTGGATGTCCTTGTAGGTACCTGCTGAGCAGGTCTGAGCACACTCCAGTATTAGCCTCCCTTTCCTCCTGTGGTTTCTCTCCTGGCTCAGAAAGCCTGCTTTTCACTTGACATCTATTCTTACTATTTTGTCTTGAGCCACTGCCCACAGCCACTCAGGCCCTCCCTGCCCCAGCTCTCTTCTCTGCACTTCAGGCCTTCTTAGGTGTAGATGAGCCAAAATCAATAAAACTACAGATTCAGGTCCTCCATCACACTGGCCACAGTTCAGGTGTCAGCAGCCACACATGTATTGGACAGTGCAGGTGTTGAACATTCCATCATTGCAGAAAGTTCTGCTTAGTTGTCCAGGGGATGTCTTGAGGGGATGACCTGTCCATTTCTTGGCATCTCAGCTGCCTGGCCTCCATGTTCATCCAGTTACATGTAAAGACCTGTTTCCCTCACTTCCAGGCTGACTGCTGTCTCCTGCCGGCGGTGGTCTAATCAGTGCATCATGTTAGAATAAGTGTGGGCAGAGCACCTCACCCGAAGTGAGGATTTAGGTATCTTTGTGGGCTTGGCGGGTTAATTGGTTCTGAGCACACAGTGTCAATTGGTGGGGTGGTGCCCCCCACACCAGTAGGCAGTTCTCCATAATACCAGCTTGGTGTTGGGCCACTTGACTCTCTCCTGACTCTGTCCCCCAGAGACGCTATCAGACCCGGCAAGACTGCCCCTGCCCCTTCAGACACCAATCCCACCTGTGCTTCTGACCAACCAGCTATGGGTTGGGGGGTTCCTGTGATCCCCTCCCCAGGTTTGATTGAGGTGCTGGGGTGGCTCATAGAACTCAGGGAAGTGAGAAAGGATGCAGGTGGACAGCCAGATGAAGAAATGTGTAGGGTCCCGAGCCCAGTAGCTCCCACCCCCGTGGAACTGGGGTGTAGGTTTCCCCACTTTGGAGCTCCCTGAACCCCATACTTGGGGATGTTGTGGAGCTTCCTCACATAGGCACGGTGGATCATTAGCTCTGTTTCCAGCCCCTCTCCTGTCTGGAGAATGGCGGGGCTGCTGAAGATTCTAAGCTTCTATTCCTGGCTGGTCACCAGAAGGGAGGGTGTCACCTCCTAGTGGGTTTTACAAGGGTTTCAGGAGCTCTGTGCCAGGTACCAGGACAGAGATCAGTGCGTGTATTCTTCTGTTATCTCACATTGGGGAAAAATCCATTTCCGTTTTCTTCATGTTACACAATTACCACAAAAGTGGCAGAATTCTGGTTTTCCTGGAGGAGACCTACAAGTGGTATTCCAGTGTAATTTCAACTGTTGCAAACTTTTTAGTGGTCATAAAAGAAAGGACTGTGCTGTCCTTAGGAAACTTAACAGTTCACAGTGTCTCGAGGCCGGTCGAGAGCCCAGTGGGCTCACCTAGGGGGTGTTCTCAGGCCAGCCCCGCCCCACATAGGTGTCCATGAACTGGGAGGGACATGCTGTGGTCCCTTCCCTGTTTGGTTTGTGTGTCTGCGAGGGCTTGCCACAGTGTGCATGCAGGATATGGCCCCCTGGAATACTAAGCTCAGTGGATATAACTTTGCCTCCCTGTAGGCTCTGGTGCTTTTTCCACCTGAGAATACCTGCAAACCAGGTGCCCTCATGGACAGGCCTGCTCTGCTCTCCTACCCAGGAGAGCCTCGGCATGGTGGCTGAAGGTTGGGGGTCCTGGCTGCCTCTGTGCACTGGGAGATCGAGCCAGCCCCCAGCTCCTTGTTATCTGGAGGAGTGCCAGTTTCTTGGCAAGAAAGATGTAAATGCATCTCCGTCTCACTTTGTTCTTGAAATTTGAAACTTGGCCTTAATGATTTGAAATTTCTGCTTTCGGAGTTCACGATAGTTGCATGCCAGTAAGTCTTCATTGATTGTTTGAGGCATTCACATGCTGACATAAGTGTCCTGAGAGCTTTACAAAGGTGTATTTTGGGACAGTTAAGCAGTGATGCTACCAGAGACCCTCTTCCTTTAGCTGGGTGAGCTGGTGGAGAGCAGTGGGCAGCAGGGGGAGCCTGACTGGGGGCCTGCGATGTGGGAGTGCTGCGGGGGCTGGGGTGAGCCCTCCCTGCTCCTTCCAGGCTCCTCTCACTTTCCTCCCCTGTGCTGTCCCTCTTGTTTCTGTGCAGTTTTTATGGCACAGGCCTCATCGCTGGCCATGGCTTCACCAGCCCTGAGCGCACACCTGGGGTCTTCATCTTGTTCGACGAGGACCGCTTCGGGTTCATCTGGTTGGAGCTGAAATCCTTCAGCCTGTACAGCAGGGTGCAGGCCACCTTCCAGAACGCAGAGGCGCCATCCCCACAGGCCTTCGAGGAGATGCTCAAGAACATCCAGTCCCTGACTTCCTGATGGGCCAGTGCCCTGTAGGGTGGCTCCCAGGGCCCTGGACCCTGCTCCTGCGAAAGGAAGCAGCATGCACTTTGGAGATTTGGCCTTCTGATCAGAATACCGACCTTGTAAGAGTCTTGGCCTAGCCACCCCAAGATTCTTGTATAGAGTGTACAACATTTGCCCCGGTCCTCGTCAGGAGCTCATAGGAAGGCTGACTGAGCATGTCTTATAAAAAAAGAAAAAAGAAAAAGAAAAGAAAAGAAGGAAGAAAAGCTGAAAGGACTGATGGAGAGGGCTGGCTACAGTCTTGTGAACAACTTGAGTGGAGAAATGGGGTGTCCCCTTGGCCTGTAGGCAATTTTCATGGGACAGGCTGAGCGACCCTCTGGGCTACTAGGGGGGATTGATTGTGCATGAGCTTTTTGCCAGCTCCCTTGCAGGAGGCAAGTGAAAACGGCTGCAGGCTGGCAAGGGGCTGGGGCAGTGAGTGCTCAGAGGGAGTCCTGGGGGGTCGGGGATGCTGGGCCAGGACCCTGGACTGAATTCTTGTTTCTCTACTAACCTGCTTGGATTTTGGACAAAAGTATTTCACCTCTGACATGTTTGTGCATCGGTGTGGTGGGGTCAGTGATGCAGGCCAGTAGGGAGTGGCACAGTGGGCCTCTGAACAGCTTAGGGGCCCTGGCCTCTCTCTAGCTTTAGAGTTAAGACCCTCGCTGCAGCCAGTTCCAGACAGGGCATCTGTTTGCACACCCCTACCCACCTCCTGCACACGCTGTGGTGTCAGAACCCTGAGCTGAGCCACTTGTCCCAGAACCTGCCCCAGGATTTGGCAGGGCTACATCCCAAACAGCCCTATATTGCCCATTTGTACACAGGTGCTGTTTTTGTAAGTGTCAAAGCAGCAGAGTGGTTGCACAGATGACTTTGGAGCCCCTTTGTGGGTAATAGGGCAGCTTTCTAGAAAAGTCACCCCTTATGTATGGAATGCACTTTGGAGACCAGGGCCTCTTGGGAGCCTCTGGGATGGAGACCCTGAGCATGGATGCTTCTGCTGGTGGTGTGCCTGTGTCCCATTGACACCTGCATTTGGGGGCCCTCCGTAAGGTCTCTGCTGAGAACAGCCCGAAACGCACGTAGACGCCCAAGAATTAGTTGCAGCTCTGTCTCCAGCCTGCAGAGAGCTGTCACCATGTTCGCCTTCCATGGGTTGCGGCTTCACCTGGGAGGCATGCAGATTTTGTCTCCCTCTGTGTGGCTTGCTCTTGTTGGGTGAACTGTGCTGAGCCCTCATGCAGGGGGGAGGTAAGGGACCCCAGGGAAGGGGGCAGCTTTGTGGTGCCTTCATGTAGAGACCAACATGAGATGTCCCATGAAATGTGTTTTCCTGACGAATTTCTCCCTGACTGGCCTTTTTAAAAAAAAAAAATAAAAAAAATCCCTATTGCTCTAGCTTCAGTACTTTTGGCAACTTTGAACTTCCTTTGCTTCCCAGAATTGTAGGATTGATAAGCTCTGCGGCATGGTCCCTAAAAGGCAGACCTTCTAGGAGGTTCTTTCCGGACTCCGACTCGGGAAGGAGGCAAGCCAAGAAGGCGGGGTCCCCGCTGGCTGGCTGTTGGTGGCACCACAGCTCACCTCCCACATCTTTCTAGTAGGACCTGAGTTGCGGTCACAGTTTTTGTGTCTTCCGCGTGTCTTCTGTGGGACTGAGCTTTCAAGTGCTGTCACCCCCACCCCCTTGTGGCTGTTGCTGTTTGACCCGTGCCAGGTGTGGCTGCTCCTGCATGGGGTAGCCACGGCCATGAACCCTCACGGAGAACAGAATGAAGGCCAGCAATGTGACAGCTGCCGTGCTTCATGTTTCGCCCAAGCCTGAGGCTCGCTCTTAAGGCTACTCGGCCCGAGGCCTCCCCTTGTCTGTGACACCCACTCAGATTGAAGATGAGCCTTTTCATCAGAAAGGGGCCCCATGGTTTCCACTGTTGGCTGCATTCACATTGGTCTCCGTCTTAGGCCAGGCCCCAGGGACCTTTGGGGCCGAACAGCTGGTTGTGGCCTGGGTGATGCCAGGTAGGGCCTGCAGTGGTGGAGGGTGAGGGCTTGTCACCTGCACAGCTGGTCATTCAGAGTACGTGTTGTGTCCCACTTGGTGTATTTGTGGCCAGTTCTGGTTTCCAGTTTGGTAGGTGAGTGGGTAGCTATGTAAAACTAGCCCCAGCGGGCATGCCTTAGGGGAGAGTGGGCAACCGGCTTCTGGGAGCCACTTCTGGCTGGTGAGCATTCAGAATGGCTCCCGTTGTGGTTGGAAGCTTGAAGACAGCTGGGATTTGATAAAGCAGGTCCCCACAAGGAACCAGAATGACCTGATTTAGGGACTGTCTGCTTGTGCTTGATTCCAGGAAGGGGTTACCGGGCCCTGGGTCAGTCTGGACATCTTCCCCTGGTTGGCACCACCTCATTTGCCACTGTGCTGCTGTGAGGTTGGATAAGTCTGTTGTGTGAGTGGCAGGAGCCTCAGGTGTGTCTCTGCGTACCTGGGCATGTGCTGTTCTGCTACTTGATGGGGAATGATGTGATTGGAGATTTCAAATGTGAGTCATTGGAGTCTTCTCTATTGAGGCTGAATGTTCACTGCATGAGGCTGATGTAAATGACTTTTTTTTTTTTTTTTTTTTTTTTTGGGCTATCTGGTTATGTTGGCCTAACCACCTCAGACCTGCAGTGGTCAGCTGTTGGGTGGGAGCAGGTTTGGAGGCCTCATGGTGGTGGGAGTTCCAGAATCCTTCCTCCCATGTTCCAGACTGGGCCTCCCTTCCTGGCATCACCCCTTAGTCCTGCCATCTGGACTGTGGCTGATGCTGAGGGCTGCAGCTTCCACCCCTCCATCCCCTCCTCCCCCAACACAAGCAGCTTAGGCTGGATGCCTGTACCCTGGCATTCCTCTTGGCCAGGGCAGAAGGTAGGAGAGCTCCCACAGTGGGCTTACTTGAGGAGGAGGCCAGGCCTCTGTTCCTATGTCTTGGAGAACAGGCTATGAGCTGGAGTTGGCACATCTGACATTCTCTTTTCCTGAGAACCTGGGATTTACTGCTGTGGCCTGGTCGAGCAAGGCCCTCCCATCAGCCAGCCGATCATCTGTGCTCCAGCAGCGGCAGTGGTCATTGTGGGTTGCCTATGTGTTCTCTCATTGCTGCAGTGCGGTCACTGTAGTGCTCCTGAGTGGTGACAGAGGGGAGCCTGTTTAGTCCCTTTATTTGGTGAACTCGGTCACGGGAATTTCTAACTCCTGCCCACAATGTCAGTGTGTTGAAAATGAACCTCCATATAGACCTGGTACTTTGAGGAAGCTGCCCTGTTCCATCAGAAGCCCTCATTCTGTCTTCTGTCCTCGTGCTCTAACTTTTAAGAACCTTTATGGGAGTGTTCTCATATAGCCCTCCCCTGGCTTGAGGCTCGTGCACCCTAGTCCTTGGCCAATCCCAGAGGTAACCTAGGCTGATCTCCCTGTTCTTACTTTTGTGAGGTCTGGAATATAATCTGGCTGTACATTCTCAGAAGTGTTGAGAGAGTAGAAATAAGCCATGATACCATCAGTTTGCCTGAAGCTGTGAATGGGCACAAGACAGTGCCAAATTACTGAGTGTTCCATGTCATGGTGTGGTGGCCTGTAGGCCAGCCTTCAGGAGGTGTGGGTGGCCAGCAGTGACCCTGAGACTTGGAGGACGTCCAGTCTTCTGGGCCCTTTGTGTGCTCACAGGGAAACCCGCCAAAATACATGAAGGGGTCAGAACCTTTGCTTTTTCAGCCTAATTTTACTTTTGGTTGCTATTTGAGATCATGTAGCCTACTTGTAGAAGAAACGAGTTTATGCTGCTTGATCTTGAGATCCCACGCCCTGACAGGTGAGGTGGGGGGAGCTGCTGTTCCTCTCGGGTGTCTGCTCTGGTGCAAGGTGGGCTGGAGCAGGGATGATGCACCCCTGGCAGGGCCAGGACCTGAGGAAGTGGCTGCTGTGAGCCTGTGCCCAGTGTTGTCACCCAGATGGGACCACTGTGTGGGGCTGTTTCTCCATAAATCAGTTTTTGAAACCCTGTTGTGTTCTTTGTAATTGTTTCTTTGGGGACGTGATCCAGATGGAGACCAGAGCCGTGAGCTACGGGAGGTGGGGGGTGAGGTCTGAAGGAGGGTCTGGATCCTGGGAGGGTGCCCCCCCCCCCCCCGGGAGCCTCTCACACCTGGACTTGACAAAAGTGTTTATTTACTCGGGTGTAGAATGAAGCGGTAAGTGCTCCCTTGGAACCCAGGCAGTGGTAGGTCCCTGAATTCCTCCCTCTGACCTTGGCTTGATATGTGTCCCCATCACTGACGTGGTGGCCCTGAGGAAGTGGGGGCCCCAGTAGGATTTTCTCAGGCTAAATTCAAGGGGTGTTTTTCTGAGAACAGGATAAGAATGGGATAGATGAGGACAGGGGCTGTGTTCTTTGGTGGGCACACAGCTGAGATTTTTTTTTCTGTTTGTTTGATTGTAAAGGTAATATTCTTGTAAAGACATGTGAGAATTTAATACAGGAAGTAAAGGTACCTCATATACCCATTCACAGACAAAAGAATTCCCCTCCTCTGTCTGGGTGGTGGCTTAGCCCCGCTACCCCCCTTGGAGAAAGGCTGCCTGGTCCTTCCCCCATGGGAAGCTGTGCTGGCAGGGCCCTGGCCAAGCACCCTGTGTGCCCTTCATCTCCCTGGGCCCCCGCATGGCGCTTTCTGTAGCCTGGGCTCTGGTGAGAATTTAGGGTTGCTGCATGCACATATGACCCCGGCTAGCATGTGAAAATCCAGGAGTGCTGGAAGGCTGCCTTCCCAGCACCTGGTTTTTGGAAACATGGCTGTAGGAGACAGTTGCTCTGCTCATGAAGGTGGCATCTGCGGTCCCTTCCCTCACCCACTGGTCCTTATGTAGATGCCCAGTCCTGGGATGAACAGGTGCTTCTCGGGGGGAGTAAAACCAGGGAAGGAGGGAGCCCTAGAGGTAGGCCTGAGAAGTGACCCAGCATTCCCTCCTCAGATGGTCCTGCTCTCCTGCTGTGGGCACATGCCTGCGGCCCAGGCCCAGCCATAGACCCAGGATCCTTACCAGGACCAGCCCCCCCTGCTGGCTCAGCACCTCATGACCCCTAGGGCTGCTCCATACCCTGGCTGCTTGTTTGGCACACTCTCTACTGGGCACTGAGTTTCTGTGTTTGGGGCTATGGGATTCTGTGCTGGGGCCATCCCATACTGTAAGGCACTGAGCGTCATTCTTGGTCTCCCTTATCATGGCAACCCAAAATATCTGTGGACATGGCCAGTCTTCTGGGCCCTTTCTGTGCTCACAGGGAGACCCACCAAAACATATGAAGGAGTCAGAACCTTTGCTTTTTCAGCCTAGTTTTACTTTCGGTTGCTATTTGAGATCACACAGCCTACTTGGAGAAGAAACACATTTATGCTGCTTGATCTTGAAATCCCACGCCCTGATAGCTGACAGGTGAGGTGGGGGGTAGTTGCTGTCCCTCTCGGATATCTGCTTTGGTGGAGGGTGCGCTGGTCACCTTGTGGAGAAACACTGGGTTAGTGCCTGCACCTCCATGCCCCAAACATGGTGCCACATGTCACAGACACAACAGTGAACAAGCAGCAGTCTCAGCCCTGCACAGGTCATAGCATGAAATGTCCCCAAAATGAGCTTAGTAGCCTCCTTTGGACACTTGGGGGCACCATATTAGGGTATGATCTATATCCAGTGCAGTGGGGGGCCAAGGCCATCATGGAAGTGGGCGCACTTGGACCTGTGGTGCCTGATCCAGCATCTGCAGGGCCAGGTGGTAGGTGAGGGGCTGTGTCCTCACCTGTCTCCCTCAATCCAGCAGGGGCCCAGGAGCTGGGTCTCTGTGGTACTCTAGAGTTTTGGCTCCTCCCAGTACTGGGACTGCCTGCCTTCCCTGGCGCACTTGCCCTGGTGCCTAGTAGGTAGGAGGAGGTGATGGCCGTTGTGTTAGCACTAGTGCTGGGTGCCCCTTGGACCAAGGGGATGGCTCCTTGTTGGCTGGCTGGGTGTGAAGCTCAGCATCACCAGGGAGCTTAGAGAGAGGGAGATGCCTGCCTGGCCCTGGGATGCTGAGCCATAGCCACTGGGTAGAGGATTTGAGCATTTGTGGCTTCCAAAACCCCCCAGGGTTCTGATGCTGCAACATGGCAGCCCTTCTGTGGCTGTCCTCCATGCTGCATAACAAGCATCTCCTTTGCCAGCATCTTTTAGGAGGAAGATGCAGAGGAACATGGTTTTAAACAAACAGCTGTCCCTTGCTCTTTAGTGTGTCTTTTGTCCATAGAGCTATGAAGAAGCACCACAGTCAGGATATAGAGTGTTCCATCCATCTTCATAGCCAGCACCCCACCCCGCAGCCCCTGGT